AAAATAATTTACCTAGCACGGTCCAGCTAGGTTTGGCCTTGATAGGGCCAAAATTAGGCCTATGTCAGTCCTAAATAAGGTCGGGGCAAGGCCCTAGCCCAAGCCCAGCCGCTGCCAGCCCTATCTTTTGAAGGAATAACTCATGTGGAGAAAGAGGGGAGAGTTACTTATTTGGTATTTCCATTGGTGTATTATCATAAGGATAATTATGATCATGCTATATGACATTTTAAGTACCGTAAATCATTTTATCCTTTTGTTTATATTTATCTTTTTTATTTCTCTATTTTTTTTTATATTTATCTCTTCTTTCTCTTTAATTCTTTATATAGATTAATTTTTTAAGGCATATTTGCGATAATTTCTCTAGATTTAACCATTAAAACTCCATCTAAGTCTTTTACTTTTTTATATATAGGAGATCTCTAGAGAGATGAATGGTCCACCAAAGTCTTTTGGGTTTTTTTATATAGGAGATCTATAGAGAGATGAATGGGGAGTCCTAGGTGTGTTTGACCATAGGAACCTAAAAAATTAAGAAGTTTTGTGGTCTGAAAGCTGTGAAATTCATATTAAGATCTTGTAAAAGTTTTGTTCGGTAGTTTGTTTGGAATTGTTATTGATTATGGGAGCTTGTGTTTGATAAATGGGATTGTGTACTACATGACCATATAGTATACAATCATTTGGGGCCATTATGCCTAGCCCAATCACTCAATTTCATATCTGACGGTCAATAATGAATATGGTCTCCTTATACCAAAAAGAAATGATCTTGTTGGATATATTTCCTTAATAGATTTGAATGTTTTAGAACCTAATATTTTAATTTCACGAGCATGACATAGTATTTCAAATCTATTTTTCTCTATACATTTGTTTCAGCTAAAATTTTGGTTATCTTAATCACACACACCTCTAAAAGCTATATCAAAAAAGTAAAGCATATATGAAAAGACAAAATACGCATAAAATACTAGGGCATTTTGGTCCTTTTTTGTGAAATTTTTTCTTTACTTTTTTTTTATTAATGTGCCCAAATTAGACGAATTTACCCTTAAAATTTTCACCTTGAGTTAATTTTTAAAAATAAAAATAAAAATCCCATTCAACGAGCTCCCCATAAAAAACCGTGCCTTTCTCATTTAATGGGATAAAAATCGATGGTCCAAAAAATAGAAAGTCCAATTTGACATCTAATAGCTAAGAATAATTGTGAGCTCTTTGTAATAAAGATAAACGGTCTCATAGCATACCATCCCTTAAAAACCAAGGTCCTTGTACTGGTTGAATTTTGTTACAAAACCAAACTAACCTGGTGGTCCGACCAAACTATAATGTATATCAAAAAATAGAAAACATATATGTATATTCCTAAAATTTTTTAGAGAGACTTAAAAATGGAAAACATTTATACAATATTGCAATTTTATAGTATAGAAGAAAGGTGCACCTCAAAATTCCAGTAGAAAAGAGTGCTCTTAAGTTGGAAAAACTTTCTAATTGATCATCTCGATATCGAGATATATAGATATAAATAAAAAATGAATTTCAAGTCTTAAAAATAGTACATCTCATAACAAGTTATCTAGACCATCTATATTCAAGTGTTTATATATATGCACTATTATTGAAATTTTAAATTTCATAATTAAGGTTAAACATTTATTTTCAAGCTATACTAAAGTTTTCAACATCAAAACTAAATCTTTTAATAAAATTTAAAAGTGCGTCTTGGGTGTGCACTTTGTACAAATCTCACCCTTTAAACATTTTGACCGGTTTTCATTGGTCCAATGATTTTGATTGGCAGTTTAAATAAAGACTGATATCAATGCCCAGTCAGAGTAGAACTTTCAAATGGCCTGAAGCAGTGATCACCATGGATTAAAGAAGGTACTCTTGGTTGTGGCGCTGGCTATTTTTAAAATAAGGGACCAACCCTTCATCAGTATCAATCGGACTCTCCCGACCATGTAGGGTGCCATAGAACCTCAAGAATAGGCTAAATCTCACTTGTTCCAAAATATTTTGTGCTATTTTTTAATTTAATTGGCTGGGTATTGTTCAAACTTGACTGGTCAAACCCGTTGAATCTGGCTCGTCTGAGTTTGAGTTTATAAATCATCATCAGAGCATTTTTTAACTATTTGAGATCGGCTACATGAATCCCAGTTCGTAATTATGGTCTATTAAGGTTCATACCATCAGTGGGGCCTTAAATCCCTAGATTTCATTTTTCACTACTTCCGAATAACATCTTAATATAAGCAAATAATGTAGATTTAGGATTCATAGAAAGTTTTGACGAAGTTTTACTCACCCTCCTTAGACCATTTACAAATACTTTGTATGAAGACGTGACAATCAAGTGCCATCATTCCCGAGCAACTTCGTAGAATGCTTTACATTAGGAAACAGAAGGATTATTTTGTATTGTACTTTGGAAAAATTACAAATATGAAAACTAATAGGACAATATAAGAAGGCCCGTATTTTCTCAAATATTATGTGTAAGGTTGGTCCCTTTTGTGTTTTTTATTTTCTCCAGTTTTCCCTTCAGTTTAATATTGGTAACATCGGATCAATTTTATTTATTTTTCTATTTTCTTGAACTTAGGGTTATGATCTAATATTTAGGTCACATCTAGAACGATTGATGGTGCAAGATCTCAGACTGCTCTCTATGTGTCCTAAGGCCACAGAGCTAGAGGTCCAATGTCTCTGACATTGGATTGCTCTATATGTGGCCTAAAGCCATAGACTAGCAATCTTCCCTAACCTCATACCGCTCTCTCTCTGTGGCCTAAAGCAATAGACTAGCAGTCTTCCATAACCTCATACTGCTCTCTCTGTGGCATAAAGTCGTAGGCCTTGGACAGCTCTATCTGTGGCCTACAACCACAACACTAGTGGTCCAAGGTCCCTAAGCTCAGACCGCTCGCTCTATGGCCTAAAGTCGTAGTACTAGTGGTCCAAGTTCCTGAACCTCAGACCACTTTATCTGTAGCCTAAAGCCACACTGCTAGCGGTCCAAGGTCCTTACCTTGGATGGGTGTTGAAGTGACCTAAATTTTAGGTCACAACCCTACATTCAAGAAAAAAAAAAAAACCGATCCGATGCTATAGATATTGCACCAAGGGCCAAACTAGAAAAAATAAAAAACTCGAAGGGAACCGAGTTTGGGAAATTTTGGACCTGTATTTTCCCATTAGTTTTTGTGTACGTACGTAGTTTTTTTCTCATACTTTCTAGAGCATTAGACTCATAGACATAAAGGAGAAATGGACGCCATTGACAAATGAAGCCTTAGATCAACCAAACTTTAGTCGATGATATAGTTTATAGAAAAATATCCAATAAGTGTACTATAGCTGAGTATCCTACAGTGCTTGAACATCATCCTAGTACATTGAGTAGGTGATAACACATCCCAGTTTGATGACATTTTACCGTTGGGACGATTTTTAAGCAACGCATAAAACTTTGGGAAATTTATAAATACCCCTCAAGGTTAGGCTTTTTATGCAAGTTACCCTCAATCAATTTTTTTTTTTTCATTTTTTACCCAAAAATAGACTTTTTAGTAAATACCCCCAACTCAAAAAAATATAAAAAAAATCTAAACTACCCTTCCTTATTTTTACCCACGTCTCTCTCTCCTCTTTCCTACAAAAAGGCAGTTCGGCGTATTTTTAGGGTGGTCCGACAGTGTGATGTTGGTCCAGTAAATAATAGTGGCGGTCCGATAGTACAAGTGGCAGGCTCACACTGATAAAGAACGATCTGACAATAAGTCTATGCGGTCAGGCACTACCAAAGAGCGGTCCGACAATAAGCCCATGTGGACCAGCACTGCTAAAGAGTGGTCGGACAATGCGGGCAGGCACTTTTTCAGTTTAACGGGGTTTGGCAATGTTAAAAAGCGATTCGACAGCCTATGTAAGCCCACATGAACATTCGGCCAAAATTAATTTTTTATATACGGAAGAGGTTATTTTCATAAAAAAAAGTATACCTTTTTTTATTTGGGACGGTATTTGCTAGAAAAGTACATTTTGAAAAAAAAATTTGGTTGGGATTGCATAGAAAGCCTAGCCATGGGGCTTATATGTAATTGTCCCTATACACTCTTATTTCTAATACAGGGTAGTTTCTTTTAGAAGAATCCTGTACAAATTTTCAATGACTTAATATGGACTCTTGGTCAATGACAACCTAGAGGTATACGCATAAACTTACAAAAATCCTTCTCAAAAATTTGAAGATGCTAGTCTTTGATACAAAAGACCTCAAAAGTAAGGAAGCTAAGAAGAAGCCCAAATTCAAGCCCAAGTATGATGACTCTCTTTTGACATGTTGATGGTAGGAACGGAACGCTTCACCTGAAGTATGGCTCTGCTGCCCTGATCACCAGGCCAAGGGCCCATTCCTTTCAGCACTGGCCACTTACTCTGGGTTAAAACTTAAATTCATATAATCGTAGTAAAAAAGTTGAGAACATTAATTGGCATAAACTATTTACTTGATAGCACTTTTTGGATTCAAAATGGGTTTCAGAACGCATGTATTCAATTTCATTCTCACCCTATCAATAATCTTTTGTTTCCTCTATATATTTTTTTTATCTATTATCTCTAACTTGTACTATTATAGCACTCAGCAAAACCCTCATCCAAAGCCAATAATCGTCTAAATGGGGCCTCTAATTTCTGGATTGAAAGATTCTAGAACGGTTTTATCCTATTCTACACCAAATCATCATTATGGCCCTTCAAAAAAATGTATGTTTGTGTGTGTGAGAAAGAGAGAGAGAAATATGCAGTCATAGACTCCCCCTAATTTGCCAGCAAGCAAACTAGAGAGAAGAGAGACGAATGAAACCTAGAGAGACGGGAAACGAAGAGAGAAGGGAAACGAACAGAAGGTAGTTGAGAAGAGAATGAGGCTTCCATATGGACAATTTGGACACTTCCTGTCCTAGGTTTTGAGAGATGCATTTTGCTTTCAAGACACTCATTGCTTCTTTATTTAGATCTATTTTCATGCCTGTGTAATGTAAAAACTGACAGAATCCCATGTTCAGCTACATTTGAGAAGTTCAATGCCTCAGAAGCTTTGACATAAGCAATCAAATCAAAGGCTTAATGGCCAGTACATATGTAACAACATCAATGAAATCCCAAAGAACGACAGTTATAGGTTATTGTTAGAAATAACCATGTTCTTCTACTAGCTCCAATGCATCTCCAATCCATGATCTCCATTTTCATGCAAATGACTGAGATATGGAAAGAATACCAATGGTGCCAAAAGCTACAGAACCCATCCAAGCTCCGACATACTCAAGTCATTTCAGATAACCCAGACTTACCCTCTTCTGCTCTCTTTTGATCGAGCCGTTCCAGTTCAGCCCAGAGTTTAGGGTCCTCGAAATCCTTGATGAGTAAAGTGGCACCAGCATCCATCAATGCCTTCCCTGGGTTCCTGGTTGTCAAACCCACAACGGCCAGCCCAGCTGCTACACCTGCTCTTATACCTGATGCAGAGTCCTAGAGAGAGAGAGAGAGAGAGAGAGAGAGAGAGAGAGAGAGAGAGAGAGAGAGAGAGAGAGAGAGAGAGAG